TTAATTAAATAATTATAATTCACTGTAATAGGGACCTCAGTTGTCTGAATTCTGAACAGACTGGAAGTCATACACATCAACAAATAACAGATTACTCAGGAAACTCCTGAGGTGCACATGGACAAGAAAATGTATGTAACCTACCCACAAGGTTATGTTCAAGGAAAAAGTTTAAAAAATACAGTCACATACAAATAACTAATATTTCAGGAACCAATTAGTTTAAAAGCCTACTTTGAACCTACAGAAACCAAGATAGGAGAAAAAAGAATCAAAGTGTAAAGAAACCAGAAATAAAGACAATAAGTGTAATGAAGAGAAGGATGAGGGGGGACATGATAGCAGTGTTCCAATATCTCAGAGGCTGCCATAAAGAAGAGGGAGTCAAGCTATTTTTCAAAGCGCCTGGAGGCAGGACAAGAAGCAACGGGTGGAAACTAATCAAGGAGAGAAGCAATCTAGAACTAAGGAGAAACTTCCTGACAGTGAGAACAATTAACCAGTGGAACAATCTGCCTCCAGAAGCGGTGAATGCTCCAACGCTGGAAGTTTTTAAGAAGAGACTGGACAGCCATTTGTCTGAAATGGTATAGGGTTTCCTGCCTGAGCAGGGGGTTGGACTAGATGACCTTCAAGGTCCCTTCCAACTTTATTATTATTATTATTATTATTATTATTATTATTATTATTATTATTATTATTATTATTATGTATCAACAGCCCTGCCTGAGCTGGCCGACGTAATAGCCGGGGTGGCGGTTGTGACCCCCAGACTTATGGTCATGGGGGATTTCAACCTGCCATCGGCGGGCGAGGCATCGGCGGCAGCTCAGGAGTTCTTGGCTTCCATGACGGCCTTGGACTTGACCCAGTTGGTACATGCCCCCACTCACGTGGGGGGACACACACTAGATCTAATTTTTATCTCTGGCCAGTGGCAGAATGATCTGGAAATGGGGGAGGTAGTTATAGAGCCCCTGTCATGGTCAGATCATTCACTCCTGAAGCTGGATTTCC